AACTGATGTCTTCATTGTTTCATATGCCATATCATCAAAAGTTGTAATTGGTTTCTATAATAATAGCAGTAAATATTTTTAAAAAGGGAAATTAAAAAACCTTACATTTATTGTTGCTTTCATTTTCTTTTAAAAATCTGCTTCTAAACAATATTTGGATATTTCAAAAATATACCATTAGTATTCTAAAGCAACGGCTATAAAACATGCCCTTTAGTCCAGTATTTACCTAAATATAAGAATCAAGGGTGCTTAACATAAGTCCTTGCTTAGAGTGCTTACTTTTTTGGAGGGGAAGTTTATTGAAAAGGTGAGATCAACACAGAGAATGGGCCATGTGCAGAGAAAGTGGGCAGGCAGGTAGGAGAAGGATGCTACTGCTTTCATTCTGTGTCCATTGGAAGAGAGAGTCCCCTTCTGCATTGATTGGCTTTTGTGATCCTGGAAAGGGGGCTGGTGACGTGATAGAACCAAGTCCCAGGTGCGGGGAGTATATCCTGAGGAAGAAATAATGTGATTGACAAGTAGGAAGACAATATTACGTAGGGCAGGAGAGGTATGACTTCCAACTGTGACTCTATGAGTAGCCCTTCTTCTTCTTCTTCTTCTTTTTTTTTTTTTTGAATGATTTATTTTGGGGCCTGGTGCAATGGCTTAACTGGCTAATCTTTCACTTCCAAATGCCAGCATCCCATATGGGTGCCGTTTCGTGTCCTGGCTATTCTACTTCCCATTTGCTCCCTGCCTGTGGCCTGGGAAAGCAATAGAGGACGGTCCAAAGCCTTGGAAACCTGCACCCACATGGGAGACATGGAAGAAGCTCCTGGCTTCAGATAAACTTGGCTGTGGTCATTTTGACCATTGGGGGAGCGAACCAGCGGATGGAAGATCTTTCTCTCTGTGTCTCCTTCTCTCTAAATCTACCTTTCTAATAAAAATAAATATTTAAAAAATTACACCTTTAAGAGGTTTTTTTTTTTTTTTATTTGAAAGACAAATGTTATATGTAGAGTGGGAGAGATAGAAAGAAAAGGTCTTTCATCTGCTGAATCACTGCCCAAATGGCCACAACTGCTGGAGCTAATTTGATCTGAAGTCAGAAACCAGGAGCTTTTTCTAGGCATCCAGCATGGATGCAAGGGCCAAAGGACTTGAGCTATCCTCTGCTGCCAGCCTCTGCTGCTTTCCCAGGCTGGCTGCTCCATTGAAGGTAGAGCAGTTAGGACTACAACCAGAGAACACATGGGATACTCAGCACCACAGGTGGGTGATTAGCTTGCTGTGCCACTGCAGTGACCTCTGAGCCTCATTCATTTTTTTAAAGATTTATTTTATTATTTTTTTTATTGGAAAGGCGGATATACAGAGAGGAGAGACAGAGAGGAAGATCTTCCGTCCGATGATTCACTCCCCAAGTGAGCGCAACAGCCGATGCTATGCCGATCCGAAGCCAGGAGCCTCTTCCGGGTCTCCCACATGGGTGCAGGTTCCCAAAGCTTTGGGCCGTCCTTGACTGCTTTCCCAGGCCACAGGCAGGGAGCTGGAAGGGAAGCGGGGCTGCCGGGATAGAACCGGCACCCATATGTGATCCTGGGTGTGCAAGGCGAGGACCTTAACCACTGTGCCACCGCACCGGGCCCAAGCCTCATTCATTTTTAAAAAAGATTTATTTATTTTTATTGGAAAGACAAATTTACACAGAGAAGAAGAGATAGAAAGATATGCCATCTGCTGGTACACTTCCCAAGTGGCTGCAATGGCCATAGATGAGCTGATCAGGAGCCAGGGGCTTCTTCTGGGTCTCCCAAGTGCATGCAGGGTCCCAAGGCTTTGAGCTGTCCTTTCTGCTTTCCCAGGCGACAGAGAGCTGGATGGGAAGTGGAGCAACTGGGATATGAACCTACACCCATATGGGATGCCGGTGCATGCAAGGCTGGGACTTGGGCCACTAGGCTACTGCACCAGGCCACTGATCCTCATTCTTAAGGGTTACTGAAAAACATAGATTTTTCTCATCTTCTGTAGTTATTTCCTGCTGGTTAGGAGTATAGACCATTCATATCCCAGGTTCAAATTCATCTTCCTAACTCATCTTAAGATCCCATCTCATGAATTGGAGAAATTGTAGCCAGTACCAATGGCTGTGTGCTCCACATCATCATCTCCATTCTGACAAGCCATTGGTCTCTACAACAGATAAATTCATCCATCAGCAGACACAACATTTGAAAGAAAATGCGGGAGGAGCGCTCCATAGAAAATACTGGGAGAGGATACTGCCCCTGCGTAGACAGAAAAACAAGAACAAAACAAAACAAAACAAAAACCCTATGCAGCTTGAGTGCAAAGACTGGTATTGTTCCGTACAGTGAACACACCCCTGTCAGAGTAGAGGTGACAGACTGTCAATCACTGCGCAGGCTCCTCCTTGCTCCACAAGTTCAGTCAGGCTTCTATAATCAGGTTCACATGCCACACCAATATCTACTAACATTAAATTAGAGGAACTCACCATGGAAATTTCCCACCTAGAGAGGTTTCCTTAGAGAGTTGAGAGAAGAGATAGGAAGAAACACGTCTGCCTTAAAGTGCAATGGCCCTGATAATGGTGAAAACAAAGGCTCCATTTATCTTTTTTGTCTTTTTTTTTTCTCTCTTTACCATTTTTAAGATTTATTTATTTTTTTAATTTTTTCCATATTATTTCCTTCATGTTTTTTCATGTTTAAAGGGGGGTATTAAGGGAGAAGGCCCACCCAATTTCCCACCCTCCCCAGGTCCCGGATGTAGGGTATGCTCTGAGATTCTTGCTCAAGTGGTTTTGATATTTCAACAGTTATGAATCGCTGCCAATCTTGCCACTCCAAGCACTATGAGGTCTTTGAAGAATCCACTGATTGTCTTTCAAAGCAGCATCCAGGGTTCTTGACTGGTTCACTGGAGTAGTCAAACTCATTATTTGTGTGCGGCTGCACAGGAATCAACACAACATGTATAGTGGGCTCCGATGCTGGAACACACACCCTCAGACTCTGTTACTGAGATTGGAAATCCTTTCACGTCTGAAACCAATGGGCATGACAGCCCAAGCTTCTTGATAATGCCAAAACCTATCAGTGCTACCCACCTGTCCCCTTTCCCATTCAAAGACTCTGACCTCAGACTACTGGCTTAGCTTGGTGATGTGCTATGGGTGCAGCCAGCTCAGGACTGTGAGAGCCCCTACCTACCTGCTCACAGCCTGGGTGCAGCTTGTCTTGGACCTGTGAGGCACCCGGCCTGCTGGCTTTCAGGCTGGTTCAGTGGCACCTAGGACCTCAGTGCTTGGCCCTTGGCTAACTGCTCCTGCCTAGAACCCTACCGAAGACTATCAGTGCAGCTCCTCCACTAGCTCTCCCCCAGGACCCTAACCTCAGGCTTGTGGCCTAGCAAGGTGGAATGACATGAGAGCAGCTACTAGGATCCCAGGTGGGCCCCCTGCCTGCCTGTTCCCTGCCCAATGAATGGGAGGAGCCTGCCTCAGGGCCCACATTCTGCTTGCTCCCTGCCCAATGTGGTATGTCAGTGGGAGCTTAATGTAAGTCTTATTGTTAAGTACTTCTTGGGAGAAAAAAGTTTTTCTTTTTGTATTTATTTTATCACCTGAGTTATTCAGTATATGTTTCCTAATATTCATGTAGTATGGGTTATACTAGAGTCTACTAATACTGTAAAAAAAATTGAGCATAATTTGCTGTTGTTTGAATGCTTTCTGATTTCTAACTATAATTTATATTTTTAAGGATTTATTTATTTGAAAGGCAGAGGGACAGAGAAAGGCAGGGAGAGAGAATCTTTCATCTGCTACTTCACTTTCCAAAAGCCTGCAACAGCTGGGGCTGGGCCAGGTTGAAGCTAGGAGGCCAGGACTCCATCCAGGTCCCTTTCTATGACTTTTTGTTTTTTAAAGTAGAGTTACAGAGAAAGTGGGAGAAAAAGATACTCTATATACTAGTTCACTCCTCCCTTTTCCACAACATCCTGAGCTGAGCCAGACTGAAGCCAGGAGCTGTGAATCCCATTTTGGTATTACACATGGTGACAAGGGCCCGTGTGCTTGGGCCGTCCATCCTCTGGTGCCTTCTCAGGTGTGTCAGTTAGGGAGTTAAATCAGAAATGAAGCAGCTGGAACTTAAACTAGTTCACATGGGATGCTGATGTCTCAGGCAGTGGCTTAACCGGTGGTACCACAAAAAACACCAGCGCTTAAAATAGTATTTTTAAAATAATTTGTTTGTTTTGCTTATATGATAGACAGGGAGGTAGCCAGGCAGGCAGATGGACAGTGAGCGCCCATCATCCTCTGACTCACTCCTCAAACTCCCTGAGCTACTAGAGCTGGGTCACGCCAAAGCTGGGAGCCAGGAATTCAATCCAGGTTCTCCATATGGGTGGCAGGGAGGCAACAGCCTGAATTATTACTGCCACGGTGTATTCTATCAGGAAGCTGGAGCCAGAGCCAGGAATCAAACTCAGGCACTTCAACATGTGATGTGGGTGTCCTAAGCCACATCTTAAATGTTAGGCCAAATGCCGACCTCTAAACAGAATTTAAAATCTGCTATAGTAAATAATAAATAAGCTCCCAAAGTGCTCACTTGAGCAGTGATGGCTCACGTGCATAGATCCCTGACACACAGATGTGAGATCTGGCTTGAGTTCCTGACTCTCGGCTTTAGCCTAGCTCAGTCCTGGCCACTTGAAGTCATTTGGGGAGTGAAGCGACAGTTAAGAAACTTCTCTGCATCTCTCTGTTTCCATCTTGCTAGCCTCTCTAATAAATTGAAAAAAAAAGTTTAACTGTTTAGAAATCTTTTGGCTCATGCTTTTAAAGTACTGTTATGAAAACATTTTACTAATTTGACGCTCACAAATGTTTAAAAGAAATCAAGCATATGGCTAGAGCCAGTTGTGTTATATTTGTTTAGAAAAGGGTTAAATCTCATCACGTGAAGGGGGCTATGAGGATGATCAACTATAATTCTGCATCGTACTTACATTTTGAGGAATTTGGTGGTCTAGTAAGCTTCAGCCATATGGACTATCGAGAGCTCAGACTTGGGAAATTGGTGACATCCTCTGTACAGATTCAATCAGTGGTTGATGTTGCCAACTGAGCTTGTCATTTTTTTCCCTCATAAAGTAAGGTCAGGACTTCAGAGCCAGCATGGACAGTTATGTCTGTCTAAAGCTTGACAGTTCAAGGAAGTATTTTAGTTTTACAAAGCAAGCATGTTCAGGTTTCCCATCAGAATTTGGCTATTTCCTAATTTTGAAGACATTGTTAACTTCTATTTTGTCCTCTTCAAGACTACCTTTAATAACATTCCTATTTATGAAGTCATTGCGTTTTGTTTTTTGAGAGTGAACAATGCTAACACTGTAAATACGTGACATCCTAGGAGACATAAAGTTTATTTGAAAACTATAGTTTACCTATAGCTAAAGAAACCCATTGTCTCCAATTTGAGTTTACTCTGAGGATCATTTCATGCTGTATCATTTACTAAAGGTCTAGGAGCATGTTTCAAGATAATGTTACTGTTGGCCAAAGGTAGTAGTAATTCATAACACATTTATAATCTCATTGTTTCAGGAATAATAAAAAACCTGTTATTAAAAGGATGTATCGTAACTGAGGCAGTGGAGAGACTTTTTTACGACATAGGAAACGTCAGTAGACAGTCTATAACGGAACTACAGGATATTCAGGTGAGTATAAAAATAATTTCCTTGGGCCCGGCATGGTGGCGCAGTGGTTAAGGTCCTCGCCTTGCACGCCCAGGATCCCATATGGGCGCCGGTTCTAATCCCGGCAGCCCCACTTCCCTTCCAGCTCCCTGCCTGTGGCCTGGGAAAGCAGTCGAGGACGGCCCAAAGCTTTGGGACCCTGCACCCGCGTGGGAGACCCAGAAGAGGCTCCTGGCTTCGGATCGGCATAGCATCGGCCATTGTGCTCACTTGGGGAGTGAATCATCGGACGGAAGATCTTCCTCTCTGTCTCTCCTCTATGTATATCCGCCTTTCCAATAAAAAAAATAAAAACAAATCTTTAAAAAAAATAATTTCCTTTATGATAAGCTTCAGTGACTCTTTTAACTATGTATGATATTTTTCATACTTAATCATTGCCAAATATATAGAAATCCATTTTTTGATGTTAAAGCCTAATGAATAGTGTATGATGGGAAATAACTAGAGTTGAAAAAACATGTACTCATATTTAACATGAACTAATTAACTTTTTTTTGAACTAATTAACTTTTCAAAAGATTTATTCATTTGAAAGGCAGAGCGATGGTGGTGGGGAGAGCAAGAGGGAAAGAGATCTCTGACCTACTGTTTCTCGCCCTCAAGTGTCTGCCAGGTGTGAGCCAGACAGAAACCAGGAGTCTGAAACTCCAGAAACGCAAGGACTTTGGGCTATCTTCTGCTGCTTTCCCAGACAGGCAGCTGCTCAATCTACTGTACCACACCAACCCCTGTTTCTTAAAGTTCAGTTCATTTACTTATTTGAAAGGCAGATTAAAAGGGGTGGGCAGGAGAGACAGAAAGATTCTGTCTATTGGTTAATTCCACAGATACCTACAGGTTTGTAATAGTATTTGAAATCTGAGGCTGGGTCAGCTTGAAGCCTGGAGCTGGGAACTGCATCTCCCATGTTGGTGGTAGGAACCCAAGTGCATTAACCACCATCTGCTACCTCCAGGCACGTTAGCATGAAGCTGCATCAGAAGCAGATGGATGTTTAACTTGACACTTCTATAGGAGACGTAGCTATCCCAAGCAGTGGCTTAACCCACTATACTGTAGTATCAGCTCCAAAAGTTCACTATTTGAACTTTAGGTTTCAGTTTTCTTATCTGTTAAGCAGTAATAATAATATTACATCCAAGTGTTGTGAGTAGTAAACAAAATAATTTACATAAGGTCCCGGACACATACTAGTCATCCTTCCCTTCCAGCCAAATAGGAAGCCACTTAGTAATGAAAATTTATTTGAATATAAGGCTTCAAAGATGTTTTTTTGGTGGTAATTTTTCTAATATTTAAATGAAACTGTTACTTATGAAGGTATTTCAAAAACTTTGTGGAAAAATAGAATTTAAAAATAAGTGTTTTGATGCAAAAATTTTTGAGATTTCTGATTTTTTTTTCATAATATGCACATCTTATGAGCAGTTTGAACACCTTTTATATATTCATGGATTTCAAACATTTTTAGCACCCAGATAAATTTACCTTTGAATTTCACTTTATAAATTTTTTGGAGTCCCCTCATACTTAATGTGGAAATTTCCTTGAGACTTTGAAGCACTTTTGGCAACATATACCTTAGGGACCAGCACTTTCATTTTGGTGGTGGTTCTTCTGGAAGGATAAGAATAAGGTATATTGTAAATCTCTTTGATAATCTTACTACTTAGATATCAGAGGGGGCTTCAAAAAGTTCACCAAAAAAGTAAATTAAAAGATAACACATAGTTACTTCCAGTTTTAGTATACGTGCTGCCGAAGCGAGCACAATACATAGTTTCTTAATAAAGATTTGTTTATTTGAAAAGTATGATGACAGAGAGAAAGAAAGGAGAGAGAGAGATCATCCATCTGGTGGTTCACTCCCCAAAGAGCTACAACAAACCAGGGCTGGGCCAGGGTGAAGCCAGGAGCTCTAAACTGCATGCTGGTCTCCCACGTGGGTGTCAGGAGCCCAAGTAGTTGAGCTACCTTCTGCTGCCTTTCCAGGCACGTTAGTAAGAAGCTGATCAGAAGCAGAGCAGCCAGAACTCATAACAGGTGCTCTGATATGGGATGATGACTTCGCATGTGGGGCTGAACCTGCCTGGCCATAATGTCAGCCCCAGTATATTGCTTTCCTTCCTCCTCCTCCTCCCTTTTTTTTTTTTTTTTTTAAGATTTATTTATTTTTTATTGGGAAGTCAGATATCCAGAGAGGAGGAGAGACAGAAAGAGCTTCTATTTCTGCTGGTTCACTCCCGAAGTGACTGCAGCTTAGCCGATCTAAAGCCAGGAGCCCGGAGCTTCTTCCAGGTGTCCCAGGTGGGTGCAAGGTCCCAAAGGCTTTGGGCTGTCCTCTGCCGCTTTCTCAGGTCACAAGCAGGAAGCTGGATGGGAAGTAGAGCAGCTGGGACAGAACCAGTGCTCATATGGGATGCTGGCCACGCAAAGCAAGGATTTAGCCACTAGGCTGTTGCACTGGGCCCAGTATATTATCTTTTAAAAGATCCTTAATAATTCGCTTGCTCTACTATTCATCCATTTCAAATGTAAAACTCAGTATTTTTTGGTATCTCACAGAGTTGTGTGCCAACCACCGCAATTTTGGAAAAGTTTAATGACTCCCCGGAAATCTTGTACACATTCACAGAGTCCTTCATTTTTTTCCGTTCTCATCCCAAGCCTTAAGCAACCAGTCTCTATAGATCTTCTTGTTCTGGAAATTCTACGTAAATGAAATGATACTGTGTGTGGTCTTCTATGATTAACTGATTATCATAATATTGCTTTCAGGATTCATGTGTGTTATTACATGTAACAATGCTTTGTGTGTTTGTAATCACTAAATAATATTATATGAAAAACTCCATATTTTATTTATCCATTTATCACCAATGAAACTTGACTGATTCGTTCTTTGGCCATCATGAATAAAACTGCGAAGAATATTTGTGTACAGGTTTTGATTTTATTTTCCTTTGGCATATGCCTAAGTAAAGCCTCTGGGCTCATATGGTTTATTTTCATTTATTTTAGAGGCAGAAAAATGGGAGAGGAAAGGAGGGAATGAGAGAACAAGTTAGGGGGAGAAGGCGCTTCTCTCTTCTGGCTCACTGCCCAGATGCCCTCAATAGCTAGGACTGATCTAAGCCAAAACCAGGAGTCAGGAACTCCACCTCTTACGTGAGTGGCAGGGGTCCAGTTGCTAAGACCATATTCCGCTGCGCTCTCAGGCACATTAGTGAGGAACTGGATGGGAAGTGAAGCAGCCAGGGGCACTGGTGTTCTGATATAGCATGCTGGCATTATAAGTAGCAGTCTAACTTGATGTGTCACAACCCCTCCCCCCCCAACAATATATGTTATTTTTGTTCAAAATTGCCTTGGCCATTTGGGGTGTGATGTGGATCCATACAGATTTTAGTAGTTTTTCTATATCTGTGAAAAATATCGTTGGCTTTTTGATAGAGGTTGTATTGAATCTGTGAGTTGTTTTGGTAGTAGTTTTGGAAATGCTTGAATTTAATTTTTTTCCTGAAAAGAAATATTTTCATACTATTCAGTTCTCTTTGCTACATATATTTTCTGTGTCTATCATAACACATTTATATGTACTTAACACAAAACCTGCAACATGCTAGATGCTTTTACTACACATTTGTTGAATAAGTATACGCTTTAAAGCTTTGAAATATTTAAAACCACAATTCAACTTACCTTTTCTGCACAATATGAAAAATATAAAAGATCAAATTGTAGAGTAATATAACTATACATAAAATGCTTAAAATAACTTTATCTGTATTCAAATACTCTAATATTATGTTTTTTTAATGGCTTCCACATCTAAAATTTATATGTCTATGTAGTATATGTGTCATGTTTTTGATATCATAAAGGGAAATCTCCCCTATTTCCCCAAAAACTTACTACAGGAATATTCAGACAGTAAAGTTGAAAGAATTCTGTGGTGGTCATATATAAATGAAGTACTTAGTTGCTGCAGTTCTATACATTTTACGGTATTATTACATATACATCTATTCATCAACAAAAACGTCTTTTGTGTATACATTTCAAAGTGAGACACCAGCATTAGTACAATGTCCCTGTAAATGATCCAGCATGTAGTGTATTAACTAAAATTCAGTATCTTATCATAGCTCTTTTAAAGTTAAATTTACATATATAATTATTTGTAATATAATTTCTCATTTGGTTTTCACTAGATACACATTTTCTCACATTTAAAACAATTTGCATGACTGTTATTTAAATGATCTAACAATATTCTAATAGTAAAATTTTGTGGGGATTGGTAGAATGAGATTAGATCATGGAGGACATAAAAATGAACCACAATTTTTACAGAAGCATAAAACTCAAGAATGAAAGCATCGTTTCAGGTAGACAACATTTTAACTGGCTAAGGAAATGTTTTTCGTTGTGCAGATTGAAAAAATGGCAATAAATCTATGGAACTGGACAGTTGCAAAGCAAGCAGATTGCACTGTAAGTGATGAACAGAAGGCTAAAGGTACGTATAGATTCATTCACTATACATTCGGTAATATTCCTACACAGTTTAAATAATGTTTTGGCTAGTTCTTATGTGGATATTAAAAAAAAATACTTTATTTGAAAGGCAGAGAGAAACAGAGTGAGCTTAAGATCCAGGAGACCAAAACTTAATCCAGCTTTCCATCATGGGTGCAAGGGCCCCAAGTGCTTGATGCATCACCTTCAGCCTCCCTGGGTGTGTACTAGTAGAAAGTTGGATTGGAAGCACAGTAATCAAAAACTTGAATCGGGGATCCAGCCTGGAATTTGGGAGTACCAAGAAACAACTTAATTATTGTGCCAAATGCCTACCCCCACAGATTTGTTTTTCCATATATATATATGTGTGTGTGTGTGTGTAAATTTTTCATATATAAAAAACTTTTTTAGACATATAACTTTTACACACACAATATATATATATCACAATTACTTGAAACAGTTACAGAAAGAGATGGAGAGAGAGAGAGATTTCATTCACTAGTTCACTCCACAAATGACCGTGATGGCTGGTGCTGAGCTGATCTGAAGCTGGAAGCCAGGAGGCTCTTCTGGGTCTCCTACGTGGGTCCTGGGGTCCAAGGCCTTGGTCCATCTTCTGCTACTTTCCCAGACCATAAGCAGGGAGCTGAATGGGAAATGGAGCAACTGGGACTCGAACCCATGCTACTGGGGTGAAGGCATCTCAGTCATTTCACCCACAATGCCACAATGCTATCCCCTCCACCCCCCCACCTAGGTAGTTTTGTTAAGAGGTAAGTAGATTATAAATTTGATGACGAATAGTAATTTTTGACCAATTTTCTTGTAATTTCTTTTTTGAAAAAAGTGATTTATCTGTTTATTTATTTGAAAAGCAAAGTTAGAGAGAGACTCCCTAAGTGGCATCAATGATTGGGGCAGAGTCAGGCCAAAGCCAGGAGCCCAGAGATTTTTCAAGTTCTGCCAATGAATGCAGGGGCGCAAGCATTTGAGACATCATGCACTTCCTTGCCAGACTCATTAGCAGGGAACTGAATTGAAAGTGGAGAGTGGGACTCTAACTGGCATTTGTATGGGATACTGGCACCACAGGTATTGGCTGAACTTACTGCACCATACTACCTGCAATCTCAACTGAGCAAATCTCATTTTCAATGGAATATTAATTAGAAATGGTATTAGGCTATTTCAGCTATATACGGAATCATTTTGAAAAATTTGGATATATGTTTTACGATGGAATAAACTATGGAAATAAAGATATTCAAGCCTATTTTCAGAGAATTAATTTTATAGTGAAGGTATCTGCATTTTTATATTATATTATACTTCAAGAACTCCAAAATCATCTACAACACAGAGTGTATTTTTGGACCTGCACTTTGGCCTCAGCTGGCTAATTCTCCATCTCTAAGCACTAGGATCCCATATGGGGGCTGGTTCATGCCCTGGCTGATCCATTTCTCATCAGCACCATCCTAAATGTGCCTGGGAAAGCAGTAGTGAATGGCCTAATGCCTTGGGACCTGTATCTACACGGGAGACTCAGAAGAGGCTCCTTGCTTCGGATCGGCTTAGCTCTGGCCCTTGTGACCATTTGGGGAGTGAACCACCAAATAAAAGGTCTTTGTCTCTCCTCTGTAAATCTTCCTTTCCGATAAAAATATTTTTTTTTATTAATTGTATTGCATTATGTGACACAGTGTTATGGGTACTGGAATTCCTCCCACCCCTCCCCGAACCCTCTCCCCATAGTGGATTTCTCCACCTTGTTGCATTACTACAGTTCAAATTCAGTTGTGGTTCTTTCACTGGAAGTATTTACCAAGCATAAAGTCCAGTGTCTTATTATCCTAGTGGGTTCAATGATTTCTTGGTGAGACCATCTCTGGTCTGAAGGTAAGTCCAGCTAAGCTTCATCCCAAACGATTAAAGGCCCCAACATGCTCTCAACAGCCATTTACAGCCACATGACATCAATTGGCATGGCATTGATTAATAGTATGTTGATGGGAAGATGTGGTTTCTTAACTACATCCTGTGACTTCTTCATAGACATTTTAATTTTGGTTTGTATTCAACCTGTTTCCATACAGTTATCAGTTTAGGTACAATACATTTTTTTTTTTAAATTTAGGATGGATGTGCAGAGAAATCCCCAATACCCCAGTGAGGCGTTACTAATCTTTGTGTCCTACCTAGTGAGGCATGTTTGGGTCCATGTTGGCCGTTTCCTGTCTGATTCTAAGCTTTCCATGTTGTTGTCTGACCATTCTAGATTTTTTTGTTTGTATGTATATTTGTTAAAAATATTATTTTTAAAAAGAAAGAAAACATCACATTTTAGGAGAAAAACCTAAAACTGTCTTGATATCTTCAGGTTTAGTTTTAGGTCTCAATTATTAGAATCCTGCTAGCATGGTACATATGATAATCATGGAATCAGGTACCTTCAGTTAGTTTTTGGGACTTAACTTCAGAAATTGAAAGTTGAGAATTAAATATTTATCTAACATTAAGCAAATTATTCATATAAATTTCAGGTCATTTACTTTTGAAAAGTGACTTTTTAAAAATACCTCTAAAATTTGTGATTTTAGTAAACTAACAAAACCGGCATGGTTTCAATACTCTTTTTTTCTCTACTAGCATGTATAAAAGGAGAATGAATATTTTGTGTTTATGCATGTCTAATTACTGTTTTTCAGCACGTCATGTGGCTTGCAAGTTGTTATCTATGTGTGACAATTCGATGGCTACAGAAGACACTCTTCGAAGACAGATTTACGTAAGTTCTCATTAAGTGAGGATGAAGTGTAGATGCAATGAAATGGTTATTATTTCTATGAAAATGGTTGAAGTAAGTGCAACACTAGAAGGAGGTTTAATTTGCAGTGATGTCTGTGTTCTTTTTGTGGTTGGGATAACTGCTATAGTTAAAGGTTTCAGTGGTATTGTCATGACAAGTTTGCAGTGAATTAAATAGGGGATTTGCAATTCTGAATTTGTGGACTGTGGTTTGCTTTTACTTATTTTTGTTTTTAAATTTATTTTTAATTTTAAATGATGTTAATGCAGTTGATCAGAGTGGGATGGATCTGGGAAAGCAGTCGAGGATGGCCCAAAGCCTTGGGACCCTGCACTCATGTGCAAGACCCAAAGGAGGCTCTTGGTTACTGGCTTCGGATCAGCTCAGCTTTGGCTGTTGTGGCCATTTGGGGAGTGAACCAAAGGAAGATCGTTCTCTCCATCTCTTCTCTCTGTAACAATTTGTCCTTCCAATAAAAATAAATAAATCTAAAAAAAAAAAAAAAGAAACCCAAAATGAGTTTATTCTTATATGTATAATTGACATTTAATGCTGTAGAAGTTTTATTTTTAGTGTCTTAGATTTTCTATATGGGTCTCTTTTCTTCCCCACAGGCCATCTTGGTGCCCAGCAGCATTAACATAATGAATCATTTGCTCTATCCTAAAAATGTATATTTATAATAATTTCAGAAAATAGTACTACCCATATTATTTTATTACTAATCATATACTTTCCAAAAAAGCAGTTTAAGAATTTTTTGTACTGCTTATATTCTTAGGATATATTCTACCAGGGATGTACAGTCAAATTATCACTTTAATATTATTAAAATATAAGTTACTTTAAGAATTTCTGTCTCTGCGATTTAGCTACATTTTGTTGCATAGTTGTAACTTTCTTCTGATTTGCAATGATGATTTTAAACATTTTGATTAAATTTTGTTGTGTAATGGGTGAAGTATTTGTACGATTTCAAGAACAAATCTAGAATATTCAGATATATTTAGCATATCTGTTATGTCTGCTCTGATCCTTCTTTTTTGTAGATAACCATTTTATTTTATGATTTATTTTTTTGATTTTAAATAGAAGTAAACAGGAGGATATACCCATTTTTCTACCCCCTCCCCTTTTTAAAATATTTATTTATGGGCCCAGCACAATAGACTAGTGGCTAACGTCCTCGCCTTATATGCAGCTGCATCCCATATGGGTGCCAATGTCCTGGCTGCTCTATTTCCCTTCCAGCTCCCTGCTTGTGGCCTAGGAAAGCAGTTGAGGATGGGCCAAAGCCTTGGGACCCCGCACCCAGGTGGAAGATCCAGAGGAGGTTCTTGACTCCCGGCTTTGCCTTGGCTCAGCTCCAGCCGTTGCAGAGACTTGGGGAGTGAATCAGTGGATGGAATATCTTTCTCCGTGTATTTCCTTCTCTCTGTATATACATTTGCCTTTCCAATACAAATAAATAAACCTTTTTATATATATTTATTTGACAAACAAACACACACACACACACACACACACACACACACACACACACACACAGATGGATAGATCCTGGAAAGGTAGAGAAAGAGAGAGAGAATCTTTTATCTGCTGCCTCACTTCCCAAATGTTGCAATAGCTGGGGCTGGACCAGGCTGAAGCTCAGAGCTCAGCTCTCCCATTTGTGTCTCTAATGTGCCCATCCGTAGTTTCTTAGACCAGTGGTAACATTTTAGTATATTCTCTTCTGTACTGGATTTTTGCTCCATTTAACCACTTTAGCATTATGCCTTAGTTATCATTCTATAACATTATATAGGTGAGATTCCTAATTTTTATTAACATAATTTTTGAAATAAGATTTTTTTTTAATTTGAAAAAGTGATAGGATAGTAGGAGGGACAGAGAGACAGAGGCAGACAGACACAGAGAGACGTCTTCTACCCTCTGGTGCATTCCCCAGACTTCTGTAAGAGCCTGGGCTGGACCAGGTTGAAGTCAGAAGCTAGGTACTCCAACCAGGTCTCCCACGTGGATGGTGAGAACCCCTGGGCCAGCATCTGCTGCCTTCACAGGCACCTGAGCACAAACATGGATTGAAAGCAAAACGGCCAGAATCTGAATTGGCACTCCAGTATGGGATGCAGTTGTCACAAGTGGTAGCTTAACTTGCTGCACCATAATGCCTGCTCCTAGTTGCAGTTTTCTTTAGTTAAAATGTTTAATACATTTAATTTTATGATTTAATAATGTGTAACATTTTGCCACATTCCCTTCATATGTGGATATTGCACACATATGCATATATGTCATTTTTCTTGCAAGCAGGGACGATGATACCATAATATGTGACATTACTGACAGTGATCACCATTATCCTTTTTTTAGAGAGTAAGGGAAAAGAACTCTTTCAAGGGGAGGCTAACTGCCTTTTGTTTCCACTGCTCGCATCTAGGGCTGTTACCATATTTTACATGGATGTGCATGCTTGAGTGTGATTTTCTGCTTCATTTTATTTGTTTCAGTGGTTTTTGGTAATTTCAGGTCCATTGAAAAATGCCCCTTACTTTCCAAGACTCTTATTTAATTATTTTTTTTTTTAAACTTTACCTATTCAAAAGGCAGAGTGATCGAGCGGGGAAGGAGGAGAGAGCATGAGAGAGACTGATTTTTCCATTTGCTGTTTTATTCCTCCAATGCCCACATCAGCCCCACTGTCGGGCCAGACCGAATCCAGGAGCGGAGCCTCACCTTCTCTATCTTCCTTTATCTTCCTTCCAACTCCTTTCTGTGTGTGGCAGGGATCCAAGGACTTGGGTTATCATCTTTTTGCCTCACAGGCACATTAAGAAGAGTACATACCATAAGCAGAAGTGACAGTTCCAGCCATTTCAATATGGGATGCATGTATTTCCACGTGGCAGCTTAACCAGCTGTATCAAGCCTGCCAACCAGTACTCTTTAAAAAAAATTGCTTATTTTTATTGGAAAGGCAGATACACAGAGAGGAGGAGAGACAGAGAGGAAGACCTTCCATCCACTGGTTCACTCCCCAAGTGACTGCAACAGCCAGAGCTAGCTGAGCTGATCTGAAGCCAGGAGCCAGGAATTTCTTCTGGGTCTCCCACATGGGTGCAGGGTCCCAAGGCTTTGGGCCATCCTCGACTGCCTTCCCAGGCCACAAGCAGGGAGCTGGGTGGGAAGTAGGACTGCTGAGATTAGAACCGGCGCCCATATGCGATCCTGTTGTGTGCAAAGCAAAGACTTTAGCCACTAGGCTACTGTACTGCACCCTCGATACTCTTATTGAATAACAAAAAGCCATGTATGAATTTTCTCTTATGTTTCTATATACTATCATTTCTAGGGATTGATGGTAAAAGGTGTGACTGCAGTGTAGTCTTCCACCTTGATTTAATCCTTGTTTCCACAGCATTTATATATATAACATATCAGTTACTAATTTGGATATCTGTCAGATATAATAATGTGAGCTTATTCAGGGGTTCCTTGGCTGTGACATACATTTAGTAAACATCAGTCAGGTTGATAAAAAGCATTATAAGAGATGACATTAAAGCTGGAACCAACATTGGGCATTGTGGTGATGGATTAAGCTGGAGGTTGGGATGCCTGTATCATGTGTCAGAGAGCTAATGGAGTCCTGGATACTCTGATTCTGATACAGCATCCTTGGAGGCAGCTGAAGAGGTTGGGTTCTTACCACCCATGTTGGAGATCTGGGTGTTCTTGGTTCCTGGCTCTGGCCAAGCCTGTCTCTGGTTATTATGGGCATTTGAAGAATGGACCAGTGGATGAAAGTTATTTCTCTATCTCTCCTCCTTTTTAAGTAGATGAAAATAAATAAACATTAAAAAAAACCCTACCTACGTGTGTTGATTAATAGGCTAATGCTATGTAACTTCGATTTTTTGAAACACTAAGTTTTCAGAATTTCCTCTGTCTAAATTATTCCAGATTTTTTAAAAAAAAGACTTGCTTTTATTTTTTATTGGAAAGGCGGATATACAGAGAGGAGAGACAGAGAGGAAGATCTTCCGTCCCATGATTCACTCCCCAAGTGAGCGCAACGGCCGATGCTATGCCGATCCAAAGCCAGGAGCCTCTTCTGGGTCTCCCACGCGGGTGCAGGGTCCCAAAGCTTTGGGCCGTCCTCGACTGCTTTCCCAGGCCACAGGCAGGGAGCTGGAAGGGAAGCGGGGCTGCCGGGATTAGAACCAGCGCCCATATGGGATCCCGGGTGTGCAAGGCAAGGACCTTAACCACTGCGCCATTGCGCCAGGCCCCAAATATATATATGTATTTACTTGAAAGTCAGGGAGAGAGACATAAAGAGAGAAGGAGAAAGAGAGAGAGAGATCTATCATCCATTGGTTAACTTCCCAAAAGGCTGCAACACCACCAGGACTAGGCCAAGGCCAAAGCCATGAGCCTGTAACTCCATCCAGGTCTCCCACATAGGTGGCGGGAACCCAAGTACTTCTGCAATTATCTACTGCTTTCCAGGTGCATTAGCAGGAAGCTGGATCAGAAGCATGGAGTAGCCAGGGCCTGAACTGACTCTGATATGGAGTGCAGGTACCCCAAATGGTGACTTTTAAAGTATTCTTACAGATGTATTTTAGGCCTATTCTTTTTTGTTATTATTGCTTTTCTTAAGATAATTTTCTTTTCTTAAATTATGGAATTCAGAGTAGAACAAAAAACTTTCCTAAATGCTGATTGTTGCTTTTTGTTTTCTGTGGATTATGTGACTGAATATTAATAGAAGACTATCTTCTCCAGAATGTCCTAGCCAGTTTGGGTAGGGTGTGAAGTTTTAAAAATATGTGTTCTAACTTTTCTCTTCTAGATGGAAATTAAAGCAGGGAAAGCCTGGATAGATACTGGAAATGCTGTGATGTCTGATGAATTTTTTGAAGCTGCCATTGTAGTAAGTTATCTTTGATTTATTTAGCTGTGACAATAATTAGCAATAACTGTGGTTATTCTCTTTCTTTTAAATTTTTTTTGTAACTGTGGTTATTCTCATCTCCACATTGTATTGCACTTTTATTTCCCAGGATCTGGAGCAGTTATATGCCAAATTAGTTAACTGGAGCTACACTGAAGTCCATACCATCATTCAAAAGTTTGCTGTAGAGAAGGACCTCTTCAAAGTCTATTCTTACCAAGCAGAGTCAGTAGGTATCATAGGCACTTGGACCTTACAATGGGGCGTTTTGTATATGTAAACACAAAAGTTATGAGAGGTAAATTATTAGAAGAAAATCAAATGTCGCTTGTCTTTAATAGGATGCTGTATTTGACCTTTCAGTCTTGATCTGTTGTTGAAGGTGACATTACTAATGGTGACTGGATCTGTGTGGAAGTAAACAGACTAACATGTAGCTAAACATAATTTTCAACCACTTCATGTAACATCTGCACTAATTTATGGCAGCAGCCTCTTTTTGCAACACCTGTGTCTTTGACTGCCTCTCATGTTCAGCCTGCCTAAAACATTTGCTTGCAAAGCGTCTCCTCGTTTGTCATTGTTTTGGGCTTGTTTGATGGTATTTTTGAGTAAAGATTTATTTATTTTGAAAGTTACAGAGAGAGGGAGAGACAGAGATCTTCCATTTGTCCACTCTCAAAATGGCTGCAGTGGCTTGGCTTAGGTCAGGCCAAAACCAGGAGCCTGGAACTCTCTTCAGGTCTCCTACATAGGTAGCAGGGACACAAGTACTGGGCCATCTTCTGCTGCTTTCCCAGACTCATTCTCAGGAAGCTGGAAGGAGACGGAGCATCCAGGATTCAGTGATGGACAAGTTTGCAGACACTTTAACCCACTCTACCACAAAGCCAGTCCCGATTTTTGCTTTGAAGTTTTGGTTTACATCCTACCTCTTTGCACAAAGAAATTGAAGCTTCCTATGTTTCAGTATAATAAAGCTTTTAAAATTTAAATAGGGAGTAAAAATCTTGAAAAGGGGGAAATAAACATGCTAAACACAATGGCTAATACAATTATTGTGATTAAGTGTTAAATTGAGCTTAAAAATCTTATTTTCTGACTTCTCTTGGAAAAAATGAAAGATTTAAAAATATGAAACAACAACCACTTGGGGCAGAGCAGCAGCTGGCACCTTTAGACATAGGCCATCATTTCTTCAGTTTGTCATCCCCACAATTCCTTTTATTCTCCTGTATTCTGGTGTTACTTTCTGTGTGCTGCTATTTTTCTTGTAGCAGATATAGAAGGAAAACAAAATATTTATAATACCCCACACACATCTTTATCTAAAGTAGAAGAATGAGAGCTGGACTGAGAAGACATTTTGATATTTGTGATGATAGTAAAGATTTATGTGGGCTTTTTTGGTTAAAGATTTATTTATTTTGTTTGAAAGTCAGAGCTAGAGAAAGAAAAGGAGAAAAAGAGAGATCTTCCATCCACTGGTATATTCTAGCCACAACAGCTAGAATTGGGCCAGGTTGAAACCAGGAGCCAGGAGTTTTGTCTGGATCTCCTATAATAGCAACAGGTGCCCAGGCACTTGGGCCTTGTTTTTCCAAAGCCATTAACAGAGAGCTGGATTGGAAGTGGAGCAGCCAAAACATGAACCAGCACCCATATGGGACACTAACATTGTAGGCAGTGCCCACTATGTCACAGTATTGGCCCCTTGGTGATGTTTACACAGTGTTCAAAGTTGTTTTCTCTGTTTGCATTGTGGGTTTCTTCCTGTGTCAAAGAGTCAGGTGTGCATTTTCAGTTGACATAAAATAAGCTGTGATAAATTTGCTTTCTGTAATTATGTGACCCTGGGGATGAAAGAGGCCTTAAAAATCATTTAGTATATCCTTTTTTTTTTTTTAAACTTTTTGTTGTTTTTATTCAGCTGTGATGCAGGTGCTGTAGAATTCATCCATTTACCATATTTAACACAGGGCTTTTAGTGTGTTCACAAAATTCTGCAGTATCTATCACAATTATCTCAGAATATTTTTGTCTTCTCAAAAAGAAGCCTACCCGTTAACAATTGCTCCCCATTCCTCCTGATTCTACCCCTAAAAATGCTAACCTATTTTTTTGTTTCTGCATTTTCCTTTTCTGGACATTTCACATAAGCAGAATAGTGCAATAGTCTTTTGCGGCCAACTTTTTTTCACTTAATATAAATGTTTTCAAGGTTTGTGCATTCTATAGCATGTTCCACTGGATGGATATGTCATGTCATGTTTATCTGTTTTTGATTATTGTGAATAATTGTGGTATGAACATTCATGTATAGATTTATTTGTGTACAATTTTTAAATGTTTATTAGAGAGAGAGAGAATATCATCCTCTGTTTGATGGTTCACTCCCCAAATATCCCTAACAGCTAGAGCTGGGCCAAACCAAAGCCAAGATTCTGGAACTTAATGTTGGTTTCATTGCCTACTAGAGCTTGTATTAGTAGGATGCTGGGGTCAGAAGATCCAGGCACTCTGGTCTCAAACAGTCTGATAAGGAATGAAGGCAATATGAAATCAGACATTGAAAGCAGAGTCCTCACTGCTGTGCTAAACACCTGCCTCGGGTTCTGTTCAAGTCTGTTCATCCATAGGATGGTAGATTTAATGGGAATCTTAGGGATGCTCTAATGCAGTTTCTCATGAGGAAAAGTGAAGCTGTAAGAGCTTAAGGCTCCTAGTAAGTCCTAGAAAAGTGATTCGTCTGGTTTCAATATAAAATTGCATTAAATTGCAAACAGTTATTTAAAAGCAGATATTCAAAGCAGTTAAAATTCTGAGATTATTGTGAATTTGTAGGGCAAAAAAATCTGCTGTTTAGGGTCTAACACGATGGCTCAGTGACTAAGTTCATGCCTTGTAAGCACTGGGATCCCATGTGGGGACTGGTTCATTTCCTGGCTGCTCCACTTCCCATCCGACTCCCTGCTTGTGGTCTTGGGAAGCACTGTGTAAATTTGCCTTTCCAATAAAAATAAATGTTTTTAAAAACCCGCTGTTTAATTCCCATACAGTGGAGATAAATGTAAGAACTATTCAAATCCAAGAAGCATGGGCTTTCACACACATACACACACACACACACACACACACACACACACACACACACTCACAAATGGATTACACTCATTAAGCTCTATGTTACTAAATACTGTTATGACTTAATTCTGTATTTTGAACTGGAACTCAATGCAGGTCTTCCAGTTGGTGTCAAAAATCGATTCACATGGGCCCTGGCATGATAGGCTAGTAGCTAAAATCCTCGCCTTATATCTGCTAGAATCCCATGTGGGTGCCAGTTAGTGTCCTGGCCACTCTGCTTCCCATCCAGCTCCCTGCCTGTGACCTGGGAAATCAGTAGAGGATAGCCCAAAGTCGTGGGACCCTACAACTGACCAGGAGACCCAGAAGTTACTGGCTCCTGACTGCCAGCCACGTGGGGAGAGAACCAAAAGATGGAAGATATTTCTGTCTGTATATCTGTCTTTCCAGTGAACAAACAGAATAACTCTTTAAAAAGTCCAGATAATTGGACCATCTTTCACAGTTTTCCCAGCCAACATTAACAGGAAGCTGGATCAGAGGTGGAGCAGCTGGGATTTGAACTTGTGCTCTGATACAGGATGCTGGTGTTGAAGAGGCTTAACCCACAGTGCTATAATGTCAGCTCTTAAAAATAAGACAAAAGAAGTATTTATTTGAAAGGCAGAGTGAGAGAAAGAGATCTTTCATTTGCTGGTTTACTACCTAAATGTGCACAGCAGCTGGGGCTGGGACAGACTGAAATCAGGAACCAGGAACTCCATAAAGGCCTCCCACATGCGTGGCAGAGACCCAAGTTCTTGGGCCGTTGTGTGCTGCCTTCCTAGGTGCGTTAACTTCATGCTAGATTGAAAGCAGAGTGGATGGGTCTTTGAATTGGCATGTTGATATGGGATGCCAGTATCCCAAATGGTTAGCTTAACCTGCTGTGCCACAATTGAGAAATGTTAATATTAATTTTAAAAAGATGCTAAAATGGACTTACATATGCCTTGTCATTTTCATTTTTAACTAATAATTGGTATTCTTTCCTCAGGCCTTTGCTCAAGGAAATTTTCAGAGAGCATCGACATATGCGTTGCGTTGTAAAGATATGCTGTATAGGTTCCCCAAGTTGGTGAGTTCAGTCTCTACATTTATTCTCCAGAAATTTCAAAACATGCTACATCATGTTCCAGGAAGGATTACCACTTCATGAAACGTTTTGGAGAGTCTTTGAGAGCAGTCCACTTGACTAAGCTGCTCTTTAAAGAATCTTCCTTCCTTTGTTCTATACAGAAAGGGCACTTGAAACGACAATATGGGTCATTTCTTGATATTTATTTTATTGGCAACCCATTTTGATGATATTTCTTCTGTGTTTCATGTCACATGATGAAAGAAAAAAATGGGTTTGTTACTGACTGGGTTAACAGCAGTTATCATGTTACTTCTGTGGTACGTTTCTATATTAGGATTGACAATGTGAGAGACTTTATAGGATAAAATCTGCTCCCTGGACTGGTTCTCATCAAAATTTCTAATTATATATGTATTTTTAACATTTTATATTTTTTCCCATTCCCCCTCCCCCATTGCTGCCAAAGATTGTCTATTAGTATTCTTTTGTGATTTCAAATAAATTTTAAGGTTTTTTTTTCTGTCTGTAAAGAATGTTATTTGAACTTTGATAGGATTTCATTGAATACATGGATAGCTTTATGTAGTATAGACATTTTTAATAATATTAACTCTTGTGATCTACGAGTACAGACTATCTTTCCAGTTGTCTCTGCATTCTTTATTTTCTGTCATTGGTGTCTGTGGCATAGCATGTTAAGTTGCTGCCTGCAAAAACTGGCGTACCATATGGGCAGAAGTTTGAGTTCTGTCCTACTTCCAATCCAGTTCTCTACTGATGCACCCGGAAAGGCAGGGGAAATGGCCCGAGTTCTTGGATTTCTGCCACCCACATGGAATAACAAGATGGAGTTCCAGGATCCTGACTTGGGTTCTGGCTCAGCTATGGCTATTGCAGCCATTTGGGAGTAAACCAGTAGATGGGAGATCTCTCTCTCTCCCCTTTTCTCTTCCCCATTCCTCCTTCACTCTGTCACTTGACTTTTCAAATAAAAAAATCATTACAGTTATATACCTATAACTCTTGGTGTAGAAGTCTCTGACAACTTGTATTCACTTTATCCTTAAGCACAACTATTTTGTTCTTTTTGTTGGTATTATAAATAAATTTGTTTCCTTCTTTTTTGCATAGTTTTTTGGTTTGTTAAAAAAAATTTATTTACTTGAAAGTCAGAGTTACAGGAAAAGAGGGAGGCTGAGAGAGAGAGATTTTCGACCCAATGGTTCATTTTCCAAATGCTCACAATATCTGGGGTGAGGCCAGGCCAAAGTCAGGGGCCTAGAACTTTATCTTGGTCTTCCATGTGACTGACATGGATCCAAGCACTTGGTAATCTTCCACTGCCTTTGCAGGAGCATAAGTAAGGAGCTTGATCAGAAGCGGACAGCTGGATTTAAACTGGCACTCTGATGTGGGATTCCACTATCCCAAATGGCAGCTTAACCTACTGCACCACAATGCCAGTCCTGATCATGTGGGTTTGTATCTTTTAAGATTTTTAAATAAATTATTTTTCTGATGTTTTATTTTTCAAATTAATGTAATATTAACAAGAATAGATTCAATATAGTTCATAGATATACTTTTTAAAAGATTTATTTCTTTTTATTGGAAAAGGTAGATTTACAGAAAGGAGAGGCAGAGAAAGATCTTCCATCTGCTGGTTCACTCCCCAAGTGGCCTTAATTGCTGAAGCTGAGCCAAACCAAAGCTAGGAACTTTTTTGGGGTCTCCCATGTGGCGGTAGGTTCCCAAGGACTTAGACAATCTTCTGCTGCTTTCTTAGGCTATAAGCAGAGTGCTGGATCAGAAGAGGAACAGCTAGGATTTGAGCCAGCACCATATATGGGGATGCTGGTATTGTAGGTTGAGGCCTGGCTTGCTATGCAACTGTGTTGCCCTTTATGGGTACAATTTTAAGAATATGCTGCTCCTTCCTTCCTTCTTTCCTTCCTCTCTCTCTTCCTGTCTCTTTCCTTTTATAACTTTTAGAACAAATAGTCATAAACTTTCCTTTTTTTTTTCCTAAAAAAGGGGGATTTATTTATTTGAAAGGCAGAGATTCAGAGAAAGAGGGAGGGACAGACAGATCTATCCATTTGTTCACTTCCCAGGTGGCCACGATAGCCAGGACTGGGTCAGGCTGAAGCCCGGTGCCAGGAACCAGGAGTAAGAAACTTTCTCCCAGTCTTCCATTGTGTACAAGGCCCCAAGTCCTTTGAGCACTTTGTGTTGCTTTCCCAGGCATATTAGCAGAGAGCTGAATTGAAAGTGAAGCAGCTGGGATTACAACTGGTGCTCATATGGCTTTATATGCTGCACTACAACACCAGCCCCGAGATAGCATTTAAAAAATATATTTATTAATTTTTATTGGAAAGGCAAATTTACAGAGAGAAGGGGAATCAGAAAAGATCTTCCAACTGCTGGTTCACTCCCCACATGGCTGCAACAGCCAGAGCTGAGCCTGTCCGAAGCTAGGAACCAGGAGATTCTTCCGGGTCTCCCATGTGGATACAGTGTTCCAAAGCTTTGGGCCATCTTCGACTGCTTTCCCAGGCCACAAGCAGAGAGCTGGATGGGAAGTGGAACTGCCGGGAAATGAACTGACACCCATATGGGATCTTGGCGCTTGCAAGGAGAGGATTTAGCCACATGACATTTTTAATAAACATTATGATCACGGGCTTAATATTGCACTAAATAAAGTGATCAGCAAGTAGAGACCCTAGTTCTCAATGATATAGTCAATGGCTATAAACAATAATCACGTGGAAAGATAACCATTTCATCCGTACATAGTATATTGTATCAAAAGACATTTCTCTTTCAGTTTTTTTTTTTGAATGTGATATATCATCTTGATATAGCAAACCACTTTGAATCCCCAGGATAAATCCTACTGACTTGTGATGTATAGTTTAATTATTAAATTGTTTACTAAGTATTTTATTGAGGATTTTTTTTCATCTGTGTGTTCATCAGGGAAATGACCTTTAGTTTTCTTTTCTTATAGTGTTCTTATGCTAGCTTCCTAAAATGAATTTGGAAGTGCTGTATGATTACTTTTGAGAGGGGTTGGAGAGGATTTATGTTAATTCTTTAAACATTTGGTAAATTCACCATTGAAGAAGCTTAGCCGTCTTTGGTTTATTCAAACTTTCTATTTCTACTTGGTTCACATTGGTAGACTGTTATGTTAGGGACCATGGGGAAAGATGTTGTCCTGTCTTTGGGTATGTGAAGAGTGTTGGCGCTGGTTTTGAATTCATGCAGGAGTGCGTGGGAATTCATGAAGGTGTGTGTGCTGGGGGAAAATATGTTGGCAAGAGCTGCATGAGATGTGTATTGACATGCACTGTGGCTGTGATGTATTGACATCACAGGCTCCAGGGAAATATGGTGGTGTGACCTCAGGTGGCTTCAACACTGGGACCCGCTGTGGCTGCAGTGGATCTTGGTGGTAAATCCCTCAAGGGTTTTCCTATTTGCGTTTTCTCTAACTTTAGAACTTGCAGCTGAGGTGATACCACTAGGTATCTACCTATCCTTACTTCGAGGACAGGATGATGAAGGTATAAACTTTCTAGCATATTTATACTGTTTTAAATATATTTATCCCTAATTTGTATGCTCCAGTGGATTGTGTCACCATCTTAAATGGACTTTGGAGCTGTTCAAGTTTTTCTTTTTGGGGGAAAGGAGGTCTGTGGATAGTTGTTTTTGTGGAGAGATAGGGGTTGGGCTCTCGTAGTCAGCCATCTTGTTGGTGTCATTTAACTTCTGTGAGTTTCTTTTACATGTTGTTATCCCTGTTGAGCACTTCCTTTCTTTTTGACACAAAAACACTAATTTGCACTTTTCTTCTCAAGTCATGGAACTAGTTATTTTTCTCAGGAGCTTTTCTTTATTGTAGTGGAAATTGAAGGCAAAATCTGAGCTTCAGATATTCTTATTGCTTTGGGTGGCCTGTTGGTAGAAACAGCATGCATATGCATGCTTAAATATTCATACTCACATTTCCATCACATCTATGTATATCACCAATTATCCATCTGTCTGTGTCAAATATTGAAAACCATGACACCTTTTAAGAGATTTATTTATTTGTAAGTGTTACAGAGAGAGGGAGAGGAAAGGGGGAGGGGAGAGATCTTCCATATATTGTTTTTGTTTTTTTTTTTTTTTTCTGCAAATGGCTTCAATGATCAGACCTGGGCCAGGATGGTACCAGGAGCTAGGAACTTTATCTGGGTTTCCCACAAAGCTGGCAAGGGCCAAAACTTTTGGACTGTCTTTTGCTGCTTTTCCAGGCCGTCAATAGGGAACTGGATCAGAACGGGAGCAGCCAGAGCACAAACTGGTGCCCATATGGGGTGCTGGTGCTGGTGGCAGAAGATCAGTCTGTTGAACTACTGCACCAGCCTACAATTACCCTTGATTATATTTGCTTATTTAATCACTCTCATGCATGTTCCCACATTTGCATCTCCTCTTTAACCCTCTCCATTGGCAGTATGCCTTTTCTTCATGGTCTGACTCTTCATTTTGAGCCTCTTTCCCTATGTGTTCACCCTTCTCACTCTGCTCAGACTCCTTACAGCAGACTATTACTCTATGTTGATATGTTCTCACCCTATTTGGGTTCTGATACTGCATGTTTGTGACTTTGGTAAATGAATACTGTTTTCTTATGCTAGAATGATTGTGCAGATGCCTATCAAGGGAGAACACTCAGTCTTCAAAGTCTCTATGCCTGTGAGAAATTATAGAACTCTAAAAAATATTCCCCAAATACCTGCAGTTCAGGAGGCTTCTACTGAAGGACTATTGCCATAAGGATAGAAAGTGACTAATGCAAATGACTGCCATAGGAATAAAAAGTACAGAATAACTCAACAATAGCCATGGTTGACTTGACATCTCGGATAAAGTTGGTTTTGTGAATTTCTAAAAAAGACAAAAACCAACTCAAAAATAAATTAAAGTTAGACTTATTTTGAAAT